TGCTGGATAGAGTAATCTTGGATGTAGGTCCTTGCCTTTCATGACTTGGAATACTTCTTTCCAGCCCCTCCTTGCCTGCAAGGTCTCTTTTGAGAAATCAGGTGACAGTCTGATGGGAACTCCTTTGTAGGGAACTGTCTCCTTTTCTCTTACTGCTTCTAGGAGTCTCTCCATTTTAATCTTGGGCAATGTAATTATGATGTGCCTTGGTGTGTTCCTTCTTGGGTCCAACTTCTTTGGGACTCTCTGAGTTTCCTGGACTTCCTGGAAGTCTATTTCCTTTGCCAGATTAGGGAAGTTCCCCTTTATTATTTTTTCAGATAAATTTTCAATTTCTTGCTCTTCTGCTTCTCCTGGCACCCCTATGATTTGGATGTTGAAATGTTTAAAGATGTCCTGGACGTTCCTCAGCCTCTCATTTTTTTGAATTCTTGTTTCTTCATTCTGTTCTGATTGAATGTTTCTTTATTCCTTCTGCTCCAAACCATTGATTTGAGTTCCGGTTTCCTTCCCATCACTGTTGGTTCCCTGTGCATTTTCCTTTATTTCGCTTTTCATAGCCTTCAGTTTTTCCTCTAATTTGTGACCATATTCAGCCAATTCTGTGAGCATCTTGATTACCAGTGTTTTGAAGCGTGTATGATAGGTTGGTTATTTTTTCGTCACTCAGTTGTATTTTTTTTCTAACTTTAATCTGTTCTTTCATTTGGGCCATTTTTTACTTTTGTCTCAGTACATCTCTTACATAGTAAGGAATGGAGCCCTAGATGTTCACCAGGTCAGGGCAATGCATGTCGCTGTGTTGTGGTAGCAATGTATGTGGGGGAGGGGTCCAAGAGGGAACAGTGCCCCTGGTTCTGCTCTCTGCCAGTTTTCAGTCACTTCCCCTGCTACCTACAAGCAAATTGGGCCCTTCTGGTGCTGATATCTGGGTGGGTGGGTTTGTGTGCATTCTAGGACCCTGTGGGTCTCTCCAACAGACTCCTGTAAGGCTGAAAGTTTCTCCGACTGCCTCACCCCCCACAGGTGTTTTCAGAGGTTTGAGGCTTTATTTCCCCGTGCTTGGACCCTGGGTTGCTTGGTCTATCTCGTTCCCCAGTTGTTCCTACTGTTTCACCTGCACTGGAATGTGGGGCTGCTTGGTCAGCCAGCTGCCACCTTGCCTGCTCTGGTCCTCCAGCCAGTGCCTTCCCATGAGTCCTCTTCACCTGGCTGCCTGTCTCCGCCACTATTACCAGTCTGGGTGAATGTTTCTTCTTTAACTCCTTGGCTGTTGGACTTCTATACAGTTCGATTTTCTGTCAGTTCTGGTTATTTTTTATTTTAAAATTTGTTTTTCTACTTTTGGTTGTGTAAGGAGGCACAGTGTGTCTACCTACACCTCCATCTTGGCCGGAAGTCCATATATTTTTTAAAATATTTTCTTTATTTATTTTTAGAGAGGGAGAAAGGAAGGAGAAAGAGTGGGAGAGAAACATCAATGTGTGGTTGCCTCTCATGTGTCCCCTGCTGGAGACTAGGCCTGCAACCCAAGCATGTGCCCTGACTGGGAATTAAACCGGTGAACCTTTGCTTCACAGGCCCATGCGCAATCCACTGAACTATACCAGCCAGGGCCGGAAGTCCATATTTTTATTTGAAAATATTTTTAAAGATGATTGATCAAAGCAATACTATATTATGCATTTATAACACAGATTGAAGATATGTGGCAACAATAGCATAAAGTCTAAGAGAGGAAAAATGGAAGTACTTATATTTTTGTAAGGTTTTTTTTATCCTCACCTGAGGACATTTTTTTCATTGTTTTTAGAGAGGGAGGAAGGAGAGAGAATTAGGGTAGAACATTGATGTGAGAGAGAAACATCGATTGGTTGCCTTTTGTATGCACCCCCAATAGGGGATCGAACACGCCGGTATTGCTCTGATGGGGAATCAAACCTGCAGTCTTTTTGTGTACGGGATGATGCTTCAACCAACTGAGCCACCATGGCCAGAGCTGCAAGATTTTTATATTAAACATAAAGTGTACATTTTTACTTGAAGATAGACTGTGATAAGTGAAAGGTATGTACTGGAAACCCTAAAGCAACACCTTAAAAAAGTAAGCAAAGAAGTATGTCTAATAAGCTGGCAATGAGGTAAAATTATGAAAATCTTAAACTGAATCATAAAAATTTCTGGTTAATCCAGAAGTGCAAAAAAGGGGATGAGGGGAGAACAAAGAACATATGGGAAAAATAGAAAATAAATTGTAACCATGCTGCGGATGAAAAAGGGGCCACATACTAAATCTGGCAAACTTCGGGAAGGCCTACATGGCAGGCCTTAAACAAACTTAGAGACTGAAAGTAAGTTTCACATAAGATGGTCTGAACATAAAAACTCCTAACTAAAAGCAGTCACAGTGGGTAGTCATATCCTAGGCTCGTAGCTTTCTGGAGAAAGGCCAATCTTTACTTTAAGTAAGCTTGTCTACTGCCTTTTTGCATAAGATAACATACCTTTGGGATGTCAGAGTAATATCTTTCTCCAGACCCTCATAGCACAACCACAGCATCAGAGGGTGAAACCACAGAAGCACTCATTATCCTGTTTCCCACACACCACCTCTGTATGCTGTAAATGTTATTAACACTACTGTACACACCAATTAAAAGTATGTCTCTCCATTTTACTTTTTATGCAGTCTGAGAGTCCTCTGTCTCCCCTTTCTTTTCTCCCAAGCCCTTAATCTACCACCAATGCATTTCATGTAACCCACCCTCCTTATATCTCCTCCTTGTATTCTAATGGATAAGCTGCAAAAATGGCATTCTCTGGAGCATTTTCTCTCTGTTGAGATTTTGCTTCTAGCAATTGTCAGTTTGGCCCAAATAAACTCACAACAATTCTCTATAGGTTTGGACATTTCTTATATTATTAACACCATGTAATAATGAACACTTCAATAAAAATATTCTAATCAGCCAAATTAAAAGGAAGCAATTTGTCAGACTGGGTAAGAAAGCAGGACCCAACTATATGCTATCACCAAGAGATCCACTTTGAATATAAAGACACAAATAGACTAAAACAGGTTAAAAGGGCAGAAACAGATGTATTGTGCTAACAATCAAAGCTGGTTTTGTTAATATCAGATAAAGTAGATAAAAGAAATAAAATAATAAAAAAGGATCATTTCTTCTATTCCAAAGAAAGAATGTTTTACATACGAGTGTTTGGAGAATGTTTCAAGTATTATTTAGGAGTCTGGACAAATCATTAGTACCATTATTGCCTTTCCTTATTAATCATGTTTGAGAGGTCATGAGGTCAAAGTAGTCCTGATTTTGCAGTCCTGATTTTACTTGAAAATAAACTTATGATAGGAGAGAGGTACCATTGTTATGGAATAAATATGAAGATTTTACACAGAAGAAAGAGGGTCATTTCTTCTTTTCTTTTTTTTTTTTTTTAAGATTTCATCCATCTATTTTTAGACAGAGGAGAAGGGAGGGAGAAACAAAGGGAGAGAAACATCAATTTGTTTCCCATGCCCCCTACTGGCCAGCAACCCAGGCATGTGCCCTAACTGGGAATCAAACTAATGACCCCTTGGTTTTCAGGTCGGTACTCAATCCACTGAGCCACACCAGCCAGGGCTAGAGAGGGTTATTTCTTAATGGTATAGGGGTCAACGCAAGAGGACATAATAAATCCCAAATATTTCAACATACATGACAGAAAAATTGATGGAATTAAAAGGAGAAATAGACAAATCCACAATTATAGTTTAAGATTTATTTAAACGTCTTTCTGTAGACATTGAAAGATTTCTTGGGCTGTTATAAGACTAGTTGGAATGGGCCAGGAGTAAGTGGGTGCACAGATTGAATGTAATTAAAATTTAAAAAAGAAAGTATGGCATATGATTTTGATTCCTATACCCAGAGGTACCACGGTATCATTTTGATCCTATAATGAGACACTGCATACAGACTTTTATCTTCTGCCAAATTACTCTGAGTCAAATATACTCACACTGAATACCTTAAAGGAAAAAAGAATTGATAGCCTAGGGGTAGCGGTTTTCAAACTTGAATATCAGAATTACCTGGAGGGCTCGTTAAAATACAGACTTCTCGGCTCCAGTCCGGAGTTCCTGATTCAGTAGCTCTAGGATAGGGCGCGAAAATTCGTATTTTTAACAAATTCTTGGATGATGCTAACCGGCTGGTGCTGAGACCAGACCTTGGGAAACAGTGGCCCAGAATTTTGTCATTTTTTTCCTCCAGTGATTTCGTGGTAATCAATCAGTTTCCAAAAGACACCCAAAACCAAAGGAGTTAGTTCGAAATAGTATTTGAGTCCACTCAAAAAATACTCAAGCCGCTAGGTGGGTTCCAGGACACCCGAAGCCGCGCGAGAGTTTACGTGATGACGTCACGCCTGTCAGGGTCACGTCGTCGCCGGCCACGTTCAGCGGAGACTGGAGCAAGATGGCGATTCCGGGCAGGCAGTGAGTGATCCGGGAGTTAGTGTTAGACTGGGGAGTGAGAAACTACGGCGACTGTGTCTTTAGCCGAGCAGTAGAAGCGCGCTGGAGGTGAAGGGGCTGTATCATCAGGGATAGAAACGGGGAAAAGCGAGAAATCCTGAGGAACAATTACTTCCCCTCCCCACCCCCTATATTTTCCAGGATGGAAGCCTGAAGTTTGAGGGAGAAACTTGTGAGGAAATAAAGAAAGTTAGGCTGAGGGGCAGAGAGCGAGACTTTTCTATTTTCCAAAAGCTCGGTCTGAGGCCCCTCAGTCTTGCTTCCTACCCCGCGCTTGAGTTTCTCCCGGTTTGGATGCCTTCAGGGGCAATGAGAAGAGTGAATCCCTGGCTTCCTTAGAGGGCCTTGTTCTCCTTGGCAGCTCAAGTCTTGATTCCCGCCCTCCCTTCCCGTTTTAGGAATGTTGTGCTGAGAAACCACAGAAAAGGGTAGGCATATAGGGAGTTGGGGTTTACGTTGCTGCAAGAGAAAAATATTGTATGTGCTTGGAATTTTTACTTTTGGTATACAATCCGTTCTGGATGTGGCTTCCTGTGATTGCTGCATCTCAAAGGCCAAAATGTCAGAAACTAAACAAGTTGGTTCGGATGGGATGGTTCTCTCAGATGCTCCAAGACAAAAGCAAGTGATCTTAATAAAGTGTAATGGGGATTTACCCTATAGCTACTTGGGTTTTTCAGTTAATTTAAAAAAAAAATTTTTGTGAGTGATGTTACCCAATGACTTCTTTAAAACTGTGTGTAAGTACACAGTAGGGGAGGAAAAAATTTTTTTGACTCTTGTTAAGCCACAAGGATAATTTAGAGCGTTATTTTTAATGAACATGAACTGAGCTTTCAACTGACATGTTCTTTTTAAAACCTTACTATCATATTACCATCTAAAACATTTTCAAACTTGTCAGTTACTTCTTTGATTAAAATGATATTTGGGCTTGGCCTTGTCTACAGTAACCACTTAATTTAAACATCTTAACACGTTAGAATTTTGAGATCTCTGAAGATCAGAAACTGTTATGTGTTCATAGGCCATGGCATGTTTTGACTTGGTAGCTTCATCTGGAAGATGTAATGAATGTATTATGTTTTAACATTTAAATATAATGGTGTAATTTCTATTTCAAAAAACAATATGCAGGTATGGGCTTATTTTGCCAAAGAAAACACAGCACTTGCACCCCGTTTTGCAAAAACCATCAGTATTTGGGAATGATTCTGATGATGATGAGGTAAGGGAACCTATATTTTTCTACCAAATTGGAAATATATGTATATTTTTAATTTGAACTTGTGATTTTGATATTTTTGCTTGTCTTAGTTATTTGTCAGTACAGTGTATATGAAGTATATTATAATTTTCAGAATTATCAAAAGGAATAAAGGAAGAAGGTTCACGGATTTTCTTTATAAGAGAGAACATGGATAATCTGATTTTTCTTCCCAAAAGTTATGAACTTCAGTTATTTTTAGGCAGTTACACAAAGTTATTTCAGACAACTGATGCTGATGTTACAAAATTGTTTGTGTAAAGTGCCCTAAAAATGAGCTGTGGGAATGTCACCAGTTTCCTAGAAATATTTATTAGTAGTTTCTTATGAGACTACTTTTGTGGTTATCCACTCTCTGCTAAATGTAATTGCTCGTTTACAGTTATCATAGTAAGTAGTGTTGCCATAGGTGTTACTACAGTAACATCTGGTATGAACATTTTATATTTTAGTGGCCAGAGCAGTGTTTTCCTCTGAAACCCATAGTTTATAATAGAAACAGCACCACATGTGTGCTTATCTCATACAGTTCTTAAGTCATTTTCTATATTTCTAAAAGACTTTTGTGTTTGTTGATCTGGTACTTCTTTGTTCTGGAATTAAAAACAGCTTCTCTTTCAGTTTTTACTAATTATCAATATATAATAGCAGAGACAGGCAATTGGATATACTTGATACTCTATTTTTTGCTCTCCTGCTGAAGAAATTGACTGTAGATGGCTCACCTTTTAAAAAATTGAGTTATAATTTACCTATAATAAAGCATGTGGATTTTAAATGTATATAGGTTGATGACTTTAGACAAATGTATATGCCCCAGTCAGGATGTAGAACATTCCCCCCTCTCCTGAAAGTTCTTTCATGCCCCTTTGCAGTCTACTTCCCCACATTCTTTCCCCCACTGTTTTGTGATTTTGATTTACATTTCCCTGATGGCCAATGATGTTGGCCATTATATGTATCACCTTTGGAGAAATGTCTCTTTGTATCATTTGCCTAATTTTTAATTGAGTTATTTGTCACTTTGTTATGAACTGTAAGATTTCTTTGCACATTCTAGACACAGGTACCTTATTAGATATAATTGTAAGTATTTTCTCCCATTCTGTGGGTTATCTTCACTTTCTTGATAATGTCCTTTGAAACACAAAAGTTCAATTTTGAGGAAGTCCAATTTATTTTTTTCTTAGGTTGCTAACCGCTTTGATGTCATACCTGAGAAACCATTACTTAATCAGGGTCATGAAAATTTATACCTATGTTTTTGTCTAAGAATTTTGTAGTTTTAGCTCTTAAATTTAAGTCTGTGATCCATTTTGAGTTAATTTTTGTATACTGTATGAGGTAGGGGTCCACCTTCATTCTTTCTTTGCCTGTGGACACTTTAGTTGCCCCAACATAGTTTGTTGAAGACTTTTCCCCATTGAATTTACAGTACCCTTATGGTTTGTTTTAATATACAGTAAAATTTAAAATCACCATGGACACAACAGGAAAAATAAAACATGCTCATCCTGTCGTTTCACATAAATCAAGCTGGAATACCATGTACTACGAAGTAGCTTATACTGCAGTTCGAGAAGAAAGGGTTTACATAAATAACCTAGAAAGTTTCCTTTATTGAATTACTGTTTCTTTTCCATTATGAAATGAGACTGGTGGTGGTGGCTGGAGGGTGGGCACACTAGAGTCAGAAAAGCTAAGGCTAGGCCATTTCACCTTGTTCCTCCTCTTCCTCCCTCCCTCCTTTTGCATAGGGGACTTTACCTCAGAGAATTGGTTACATAAGTGATAGAAGATGTGAGAAGCCAAAACAAGAGTGGTGAAGCAAACCAGAGATTAGCAGTAATAAGATGCAAGTAGTGTTAAATTAAGAGAAGCAGGTAGGAGAAGGGTCCCAGAGGCCAGGGGCTCAGGTTTACGAGGGGGGAATTGGACGTCACTGGAGAAATTCAGTCTTAGGTTGAGAGAAACATAGGGAGAAAAACTTTGTCTTATCCCTTTCTCCTACTCTCCAGTATACAGTCTCTGTCTTTGATTGGTAGAGCCTCACCAGAAACCACTGACCAGGGAGCTGCATCTTAGTTTTTAATGAAAGAAATATAAAACTGTCTTTAGCATAATTTCCTTACCTATAAAAATTCAGTCTGGTGAATTCCAGCTTACCCTCATATTACTAAGTAAATTCTTAGTTGAGTATGTTATTTAAATACTTGCCATGTTTGAATAGAAAATCATTTAAAAATTAATCAACAATTTAAGCAATAAAATTATTGGTGTTTTGGAAAATATAGAGAAAGATATTTTCATTTACATATATTGTTATGCTTATGGATTCCCTCCAGAGGAGGGCATTTGCTGTGCATGGAAAGAACTGCTATGAAACGGATCCATCTATTGTCTTTAGCTATTCAGCACAAGCAGTTAAGAGTCCAAATTTAAAATAAGACTTCCCCCCTTCCAGTGATCCATCAGAGATTGTCCTACCAAATGAATCCTGTTTGAATATGTGCTTTAATCCAGAGTTAGTTTGCAAATGGGACAGTGACAGTCTAAAATCTTAAATTATTATTTCAATAGTTCCTCTTTTAAAAATGATCAGAACTAATTAGAAGTAATCATTATTTTGTTCATAGGTAGGAGAGATGAAGAGTTTTTACCCCATGTGATTAAGAGGTTTATAGTATATCCAAATGCTGCTGTCTGTCTGATCATAAGTGAGTGATTTTGCTGTGATAGTAATTTTTTCCGGTCCCATTGCCACTACCTTTATTACTTCCCTTTTGGATTATAATAGTTTTGTAACTAGTTTCCTTATCACCTGTCTCTCCAAATTTAGTTTGAATCACTGTTACTCTCTTGTTCTTAAACCTAATTGTATTTAAAATTTAAACTGCTAATCCTGACACTGAAAGCCCTCCCTTTGCTTCACTTCAAAATGCTTATTAGCATTTTCTCATAACTGCTCCTCCCATGCAAAGCTCACTGTCATGTTTCTATTTTTTCACAAGTCTGCTTTTCTCCACTCTGGAAGTCTTTCCATTTTATATGTCAGAATTATAGCCATGCTTTAAAATCCAGTGCAAAAGCTGTGGCTTTCAAGATTTCCCCCACTGGGAACAATCTCCTCTCTTTTGTAACACTTTTTGCCTTTCTTAGAACATTTATCTTTTTATACCTTATAATATATTTATACACAAATTTTTTTAAGATTTTATTTATTTATCTTTAGAGGGGAAGAAAAGGAGAGGAGAGAAATATCAATGTATGGTTTCCTCTCATGAGTCCCCTGCTGGGAACTGGCCTGCAACCCAGGCATGTGCCCTGACTTGGAATCGAACTGCAATCGTGTTGTTTGCAGGCCTGCACTCAATCCACTGAGCTACACCAGCCAGGGCTTTTATACACAATCTTTGTCACTACATGAGACTGTGAGCTCCATGAGTCAGGATCTGGATATCTGTTGGCTTCCAAAAATAAGTAAAATTATTTACTCAGATGTTTTAGCTATCTATATTGCAAAGAGCCAAGTAGTAGATGTTTTAGGCTTTGCAGGCCAATCTCTCATATTGTGAAAGCAGTCATTAGACAATACATGAATGACCATGACTAATAAATGGGTTCTAATAAAACTTTATTTACAAAAAGGTAGGTGGCTGGATTTGGCTGTTACTTGCTGATCTATACATTCTCAAAAGTACTGGTTATAGCCAGCATTTCACAGTGATTAAAATAGATGTTACATGACAGTTGAAACACGAGGCTTCTTTTTAGATATTTCTCCATGATAAATACTTGCTCATTTTGCAGAGCATAATGAAGTTTCCTTTTAATCATGCCAGTTCAGATGCTTATTTCTAGACAGTAATATTCTTATGAGATCCAGTTTTGCAACTGAGTACATATTCTATGAATAGATATGATCCATACAATATGGGAATTTTGGATTTTGGATAAAGGTACAAAATTCCTTGATCTTTTTAAAAGAGAGTAGTAAATTAAACTTAGATAGCTAAAATTTATTAGTTTAGTGTTATATATGTTAACCGTGTCAGGTAAATTGTGGATGACAGCAGTAACTGCACTTTGATTCACTCAGACACCACGGCATATTTTCTAGATTAAGCTTTCATTTTCATAAAATGCAAAACATTTATAAAAACTATAAGAAAAACACTAAAACCCAGCAGAAAATGAGGGGAAAAACATAGACAAATAGAAGAAATAGAAATATTTAATAAACGTTAAAAATATTTCATCTTACTAGATAGAGTTAAGTGTAAATTAGGACAGTAGTGAGCTGCTGTTTGTTTGCTATATTAGTGAATACTTTTAATAAATAATGGCAAAGTTTTGGTGAAATGGGTGTGCAAAGTTTTTTTTTAAGATTTTTTATTTTTTAGAGAGAGGGGAAGGGAGGGAGAAAGGGAGAGAAACACCAGTGTTTCTCTCCAGCACCCCCTACTGAGGACCTGGCCCGCAACCCAGGCATGTGCCCTGACTGGGAATTGAATCAGCGACTCCTTTGATTTGCAGGCTGGCACTCAATCCACTGAGCCATACCAGCCAGGGCTGTAAAATTTTGCTAACGTGAATTGATGTGCCTTTTTAGAAAGAGTTGTTCGATTTGTATCTTTTAAAAGTTAAGTATGTTGAGCTTTTCCTGAAAGTGGCCAGAGGTGACCTCTGAAAATGGTTCTTTATTCACTTGACCCAGAAAGCCCCACAAAATCATGCAGATCAGGAGGTCCAAAAGTCTTATATTCACTTTAAGAACACTTGTGAAACTGCCCAGGCCATTAAGGTTATGCATATTTTAATACACCACCAAGTATCTGAAGGATGTCACTTTACAAAAGCAATGTGTGCCGTTCCATGGTTACAGTAGTGAAGTTGGTAGGTGTGCCTAGGCCTAACTGTGGGCCTGGATATAGGGTTGGTGGCCTAAAGAGTTACTGCTT